TCATAAAATGTTTGAAAAAATATTATTTAATATACATACAAATTATTTTATTATTTTAAAAATAAATTACGTCTTTTTATATCACTGATGATAACGCCAWAGTATTTGTAGATTTGTCSTTGAGTTATAAGTATTAGTTATCTGGACAGTTTAGTGATAACAATTGTTATTATTTTTAACTTAATTTGATTACTTAAACATTGAACCAATTTTTTTCTAAATCACAATAGATACATGTTTATACATTATTACAGTCGAATCATGGAGACTCGAAGTTAACTCGAAGGGGGGGGGGATAAAAATATAAAAATTCGCTTCAAGATACGTATTATTCCGTATTCGAGATACATAATTCGAATTCATCCAAATAAAGTTCTTAGTTGTCAATTTTTCCGTATTATTGAGGTTTGAGTTATCGTGACTCGACTTTATGTAAACCTTATATTGTATGTATATTATTACAATTTTTTTCACATATTAATTATTGTATATTTTAAATTGAAATATGACAAATATACAATAATTKATCAGGAATTATTATGCATAGAATACTTAAATTAAGACATTTTCATCATATTATTATGTTTYTTGAAAATATCTATCAAAAATGTTTGCATTATATTATTAACTAAGTATAGTTCATTCAAATATTTTAAAATTAAAAAAACTTTGAAATTTGTTATTTTTAATGATGATTTTGTTTTTAATTTTAAGAGACCGACACTCTACCACTACTGAAATTAAATACTCGTATTTTGAACTTACGTTCAGTGGGTTCAGGAAAACTGTGTGACATCGATATAGACGTGTCGTCATCTCTAGCCACATCATCAGTGCAAATTACTTTCCAAATAGTTGCTCCACTTGTCATTTCACCTACAGTTATTCATATAAAAGACTTGAGTATGTATACTATGTATTTAAAAAAATTAAAAACGTCCTACAATGTAATCAATGATATAAATTTAAAACCTTTACAACAAAATATTTCATAATTTGTAATATTATGTCATCATGATAAAATCAAGTATATTTCTTATAAAAAAAAAATTATATTATTTAAAGTAGCTATCATCCTATTATATAAGTATAATAGATCAATACTTATAGATGAACGATTTAAATGTCATACATAAGTATACGATACGATATAAATTTTGWAAATATTGTCATATTATGTTATCTAACCGAACTTTTGAAAAAAAATTGTTCAAAAAAGTGTTTTTCTGTGTTTATCAGACTTGTAAGTTTGAGTATTTATAAGATAACCATTAGTTTTATACACGATTTAAAATGTCTATTTATAACGTTAGGTATGGTTAACAAACCATTTCGTATCATTGCGATGTTTTTATTTTTATTTTACAAAGCTTATATAGACGGTTACACTTAATGACAAATATATTTTTTTAAAGTCTTTATCGTAATGTCAACCTTTTTAGGCCAGTCTCGACAAGTTAAGCCACAAAAAAACTTATTTAACTCTCTAGGGGGTTAGTCGTGTATCAACAGATGGTAAAATACTAGTAAAATGTTCAAACGCGTAAAAAAACCTACCTACCAATGTAATTCTTATGTATTTTATTCTTTATCGTTATTTATACTGTACAACTTGGTTTGAGCTTACCTAGTTTTAAGAAGTTTCAATAATCCYAGTTTTAAATGTGGAATATTTCCTTCAAAAATAAAAGTCGCACATCAGATAAAACTTGCGGTAATGCGATATATAATGAAAACCATATTGTACACGCGCGGTATATTAGTTTAATTTTRTACACAAAATCATATCCTTCAACGTTATATTATTATATATTTTAATGTTGATCGAATCGGTTAGGTATCGTAAAATAACCACCACGGCCAGAGACAATAATTTGAATATTATTTTCCCAATGGCGTTGGGTACCTGCAGTCGTTTTATATTCAGTGTCGTCGACGTGATGAAGGTATTATATGGTATATGCTGTATAGCGCATGAGTTCTGTGGTGTTTTTTTTTTTTGTAAGTTGGAGGGTGGATGGATTCGCGACTCGATCAATCAGGGTACAATCCTTTCTGTTTTATATGTTAAACAATTATTAGTTCTTTATTTTCTGACTTCGAACTAGGACCATAGAATGTATAATTTGTATGCATATATTATACTGTTATGTGCATGTGTGTATGTTCTAGCCGATAGTATAACGGTCCGAGTGATGGYTCACAGAGAAAACGACGATACAGAGTCTGTAGTGTCGTCGATGGAATGCACTGTTTGCGCATACTATTCTGGGACATCGGACGTACCGGGCTCGGTGCAGCAGATTGTCCGGTTGCCATTGACGTTGGCGTACGAAGTCCATTCGACRCCGTACTTAGATTTTAGTTGGTCGGCAAAAATATCCGTCGACGAGAGTCCAGTAGCACTAAAAACACTGTTCAAAGGTGAGGCACATGTACGGTTTTAACACG